ACTATGGTGTTAATTTTTTATCCTCGTTATTGTGATTTGTAAGTTATAATTAAAGATTGAGTTGCTGATTGTTTTGAGCTACATGAACGCATAATTTTGTGGGAGGTCTACATGCGACCTTACCATACACAATGGTCATAACTTGGAGTTGAATCCGGAGCTTGAGGAATATAAGAAACTTCACCTTATGATCCGAAAATTTGGATTGGCGTAGAGGAGGTTAAAGACTATTACAGATACGAGAACTAACATACATTATAAACGAAAGATGTATGATATATTTCTAGCTAAATTTCCACAATGTGCTGAATATTGGGCAATATATGATGATCACAACGCTGATCAGTTTGAGAATATGAAAACATTATTGGACGTTTTTGAAATTTAAGCACACCTGAAAGCTAAATACTCAATGCAGGTATGGTTGAATTTTATCAAGTTCGCCATCACCTACTACTCAAATCCAAAGACCATGAGGAAGTAACTATTGATTTAAAAGATTTAATGCTCAATTTTTTAGTGCTTAATACTTCTCTCTTTATTATAAATCTTTCCATAGCTATTTTTGTTAATTCTACTGCGAACTTTTTGACGAGGCTTTGTCTCACACTGGAGATAATTACCGGTCATTTACATTGTGGAACGAGTTACCTTTCATATGAGTTGGAGCAGCACAACAAACATGACTCACCAGATGTAAAACTTAAGGTACTTTGTGGATCCGATTCTATAGGCTGAACGTTTAGCATTGTTTGGTTTTTTATTGCCATTGCAAGTCAAGAGGCTTTGTGGCAGATCCTATGTGTTGAATGGCATATTATTATTTTTTTGGCAAACATTTTGATAAACAACTGATTTGAAAAAATTCTCATTTCTAGAAAAGTATTACAATTGTTGTTTGCAAATAAACTGATCAATGTGAAAAATTACTATTCTGGCTAATGTTATACTTTCCACACATTTCAATCATCAACCAAACCCGGTTAACTCTTAAACGGTGCCGTTTACTGACTTCTCTCTCTCTTTTTCTGTCTATTTCGCGCGTGTTCGTTGTCGTTATGAAAAGTTGGAAAGTTTCGATCTTTATCACAATTCAGAGCAGTGTAAAAGCATGAGAATCTTCAGAATCGTATCGGTTTCGTCACGAATCTTCCCGTCGAGCCACTACGCAACACTCCCGTCTAAACATAACGTTTCTTCTTCTCTCTCACCGGCGGTCTGCATTGCGGAAGCTCTTCAAGAACACATCAACTCTCCGGCACCAAAAGCTGGAAAGAAGATTCACGCAGATATTATCAAAACTGGGTTTAGACCAGATATGAACATATCCATCAAACTACTCATCCTTCACTTAAAATGCGGCTGCTTGAGTTATGCACGCCAAGTGTTCGACGAATTACCCAGTCCAACATTATCTGCTTACAACTACATGATTAGTGGCTACATGAAGAATCGTTTGATCGAGAAAATGCTTCTTCTAGTTCGACGGATGGTTTACTCTGGGGAAAAGGCAGATGGGTATACACTTTCCATGGTTCTAAAGGCATCTAATGGTCTTGGCTCGACTACGAGACTGCCGAGTAGCTTATGCAGGTTGGTCCATGCCCGGATTATAAAATGTGACGTTGAACTAGATGATGTGTTATGTACAGCACTTGTGGATGCTTACGTGAAGAGTGGGAATCTGGAATGTGCAAGGACTGTATTTGAAACTATGAGAGATGAGAATGTCGTTTGTTCTACATCGATGATCTCAGGTTATATGAATCAAGGGTTTGTGAAGGATGCAGAAGAGATTTTCAATTCAACTAAAGTGAAGGATATTGTAGTTTATAATGCTATGGTGGAAGGTTTAAGCCGATCAGCGGAAACAGCTAAGAGAGCTGTTGACATGTATATTTTGATGCAACGAGCCGGTTTCCATCCGAATATTTCATCTTTTGCTAGCGTGATTGGAGCGTGTTCGGTTTTGGCATCCCATGAAGTCGGTCAGCAAGTGCACGCTCAGATTATGAAAACTGAAGTCTATACGCATATCAAAATGGGGAGTTCTTTGGTAGACATGTATGCCAAATGCGGAGGAATCGATGATGCAAGAAGAGTCTTTGACCAAATGCAAGAGAAAAACGTCTTTTCTTGGACTTCGATGATCGATGGATATGGAAAGAACGGAAATCCTGAGGAAGCACTTGGACTCTTCTGTAGGATGAAGGAATTTCATATAGAACCCAATTATGTAACCTTTCTTGGAGCTCTCTTTGCTTGTTCACATTCTGGATTAGTTGAGAAAGGCTATGAGATATTCGAGAGCATGCAGAGAGATTATTCTATGAAACCAAAGATGGAACACTATGCTTGCATGGTTGATCTCATGGGACGCGCTGGAGATTTGAATAAAGCTTTGGAATTTGTTGAAGCAATGCCAGAAAGGCCTAACGCAGATGTTTGGGCTGCTCTTCTCAGTTCTTGTCAACTGCACGGTGATGTGGACCTCGCAAGCATAGCCGCGAATGAGCTTTTCAAACTAAATGCTGATAAAAGACCTGGAGCGTATTTAGCACTTTCCAATGTTTTAGCTTCCGCTGGTAAATGGGGAAAAGTGAGTGAGATCCGGGAGCTGATGAAGGCTCGAAAGATATCTAAAAACATTGGTCGTAGTTGGATCAGTGCCGATAAAGCTCAATGAAGGTATATGAACCAGAGCCTCAGATTTGTCAGGCTTTTTGGTTTGGTCCACATTCATAGAAGATTGCTTGGAGATAAGACTTTTTGACACTGAGTGTTTTGCAAATATGATATTATGAACACATACAGCAAAGGCTTCTCTCAAGCTCTTCGAATCAAATACAACGAGCTCGAATACATTTGTTCTGTGATGAAACCGAAAGTTATACAAATGGTTGATTATTTTGTGTTTACGTCTCTTTTATTGCTTGTATAGAGGTCGCATCGCTGGTAATCAAGACAGATCATATTCACCCTTGTAGAACTTTACCATGGCCTCCTTAAACTCAGTCATTGCAGATTCGCGTAGATTCACCAAAACCTTAAACCCACTGTCCTTCTTGCTTCCAGCTGCAGAATCAGTCGAATATGGCAAGAAAAAACATGGTTCCATGCTTCCAAGCAAGTTGTTTGATAAAGGCAAAACCGTCACAGGTCCTCCCCATCCGAAATCAATAGTCGAATGCCCCAAGTATCGCCAGTCCGTGAATCCAGTCACTCCTGTGTTTACAAAAAAAAAACCGAAAAAAACATGAAAACTTTGATTTTGATACTTCCTCTCTGTAACAAATCATCATGATATCAGTATTTACCTGTACCGGCATTGATTCCATCTTTGTGGTGCAGCTCTTGGAAGTCGATAAAGGAGCGTACGTATTCGTCACTCGCATTGGATTTACTCTGTTTTATAAGCTCTACGGTTTTCCAGATTGGTTGCTCTATGAGTTCTCCAGCTTTGAGCTGAGCATACATTGGCACACATCCATTTCCCCAATACCCTTTAGGCAAAGGTGGATTCATCAATCTCCTTATATTTATCGAATACACATACTTCACATTCTCTTCTTCACCAATCTTTGCAGCTCTCACCCTGAAATGTTGCAACTTTCTTGTTTCAGATCAATATTCTGACAATGAAATTGCATAAGGGGTTTTAGTTTTACTTACTTTGCACGCCAAATGTAAGCACCAAGAGCTTCAAATGTAGTGAAATTCAGACCCGATTTCTCGAGTAAATAAGCCTTGAACCGATCCAAAGACTCATCGGTCACGAAGAAACAGTCTCTAGCAACGGTTCCAATGTTCTGCCCATACGGATCAAAGTTCTTGTCCAAGGTCAAGAAGTCACGAACCGGAGCTCCAACCCAAGGCTTTTCTCTTGGACTAAGTAGACGTTCTCTGTCCCAAACCGGTTCGATCGAGATCTTAGTCGCTCCACGAGCTAATTCCGCCATGGCGTTAAAGAACAGACTCGCACCTAAACCGTCGCAAACCGCGTGGTGAATCGCCGCTCCTAGAACCCAACCACCGCACTGAAACGTCGTGACTTGGAGGATACATGGATTAACCATTCCTTCTTCTCGGGTCGGATCAGGTACCAATCTCTCGACGAATCCCGGGTCGGGTCCATCGAAATATCCGACGGATTCGAGCGTGCAGTTAACGGAAGCGTTGACTAGAGGGACGGTTTGACCGGCGGTACAGTATAGCTCGAAGCGGTTATCGGAGTTGGAACGGCGGAGTGAGCCGGCGAGAGGGTAATAGTGGTTAAGTGCGGTGGCGAGGGAGGCGGAGACGACGGCGGAAGGGGTTTTTCCGGCAATGGCCGCGGAGGAGGAGTAGACGCGGAGGTAACGGAAGCTGACGTGGAGGTTGTTATCGTTATCGAGATGAGAGAGGGAGAGAGTTTGGTCGCTAGTTAGGTGCGAGGGAGAAGAAACCAAGGTTATATCTGTAATTTCAAGTTTCGCCATCTTCGAACTCTGATTTTGATCTTGGGGTGTTTTAATTGGTGGGGGGAATGGGGTCTTTGTAGCTTCCATAATAAGTTGTGGGGTCAATTTATATAAATGAATTTTAGAGAGAAAAGGCAAAATCAATGCCTTGAGGACAGGTTATCAAGTGTAGTGGGGACATCAGAAAAGCTACCAAAAAGTCATGACCAAACCCTCACCTACTACAAACAATTTATAGCTTCCATTCAAAATCTTATTACAGTATGGTTATACTATGATGGAAGAATAAACAAAAAAGAATCGAAAGAATTGTCATTTCACCTACCTATTACTGTGAATGGGAAGGTAGTTCCAAGATAAAGAACATAACTATTGTGTTTTTTTTTTTTACAGCTAAACGTTTGTTTTTTTTTTGGTTTTTGTTGTTGCTAAATTGTAAATATCATTTATGAAATGAAAATTTATGTTACAAAATGTTGGATAAACAAATTGTTACACCTATGGTTTTGATCCCACGACAAAAAAAAAAAATTAAAAACATGGAAACAAAAGAATAATCGATACACATTCATAACTCTCTGGAGAGCAATTACGAGGAAGTATCGATAAACATCCTGGAATCGCCGTGCAACGAATCAGTGTGGAAGCCAATGAAGGAGATGTAACAAGAGAGAGAAATGAAGTGTCTACGACGCTAAAAGAATCACGTTTATCCGGTAGTCTAAGCATAACGAAGACCCGAGTGTCAGCCAGCAACAAAACAAGATGACCACAACACCCGTTTACGAAACACATCAGCAAGCTAAGGAACAAACGTTACGACAGGACTACGCTAGCTCAAAAATAGATACGAGAAGAACTACGCACATAAGCTCTACCAAAATCCCCTTTTAGATGATGGCCTCCGCTTAACAAATGGTATATATACTCAAGCCTTACTAGGTCCTCCAATTTCGACATAGAACACATCGAAAACTAATCAAGAAACCTAACCAAACTAACAATCAATCTTCAAGCACAAGAAACCAGGTAGCACTACCTTAACCCACACACTAGAACCAAGGAGACATTGACTAGAGAGCAACTAAAAGGCGTAACCGACCAGAATTCACTCAAAGACAAACAAGCTTAACTGAAGGAAGACTTAATCAAAAAGAAACTGAACCCAGAACACGAGCAAACTCAAAGCCTAGAGAGAAACTACCAAGGCCGTGAAGCGGACCTGTCCTTAAGGGACCAAAAGCCACAGACGAAGTAGAATTAAAGCCACCTCCGACAGATGAAAAGACCTCTGAGCTATTCACAAAGAGAATGAGATTTCGGTTCACCTCCAAACCACAAACCAGATCGGGAACGATATGAAGGAAGGTCCCAGCCGAGGCAAACACCAAAACATCTCAAGACCCTGCTTGTCCGAGCCAGCAGACCTGCAGACCGATAAGCTAGACCGGAGCTGCCTCTAAGACCAAATCGCCGGCGAAATTGACTCTTAAACTAGGCGGAGGCAGTAAAATCAGAAGTAGAACCGCTGCTTTAAACCACTAAGGAGAGTTGAAGGTCCAGACGATTCACGCCTTCAAAGAGGGAGTAGCGAAGCCAGAGAAGAGAGGAGAAGCGGCCGACAACACTCTCTTGCCAAAGCTGTGGAACCCTAGATCGAAATTGTAACCCGCCATATCTCAGATTGTAACCCGCCATATCTCAGATTGATCCCTGAAAAGTAAAAAGAGAGAAGAAGAGAGGAAGGGTGGAGGCCAGACCATTGCTAAAGAAGCCACCGGCTCCGGCCTCGAACAATATCTAGTTTTAGCGTCGGCAGAGAGAAAAGGGCAAACTCCTTCAGCGTCCTCTTTTGACCAAAAAATAAATGTTTGCTTTGAGACTATATGTACATTGGTTTAATTTTTTCAACTTCACATTTTCACTTTCTAACAGTTCCCATCATCTTCTC